ATATATATATATATATACACACACACACACACACACACACACACACACACACACACACACACACATATATAGTCCATTTCTAAATGTTTCGCGCAAAGATCATGACTAAAGTAGAAATGGGTCAGATGTTTTTGAAAGTCTGGGCAAGGTCTCATAAAGCCTTCCCTAGAATCTCCAGGCAGGCACTCCTGACATACTTCATTGGCCCACGGAAACCAATCCTAGCATGCACGGTGCCTTCTTAACCTTTGGTTTTCATAACGTAGTTATATTTTCCTCCCCCCACATTTGAAAATCTCACATGGGGTTTCTTGCTCTTAATATGCTGAAGAAGCCACCACCATCAATTCTCAGCATCGAGACATCAGAACATTCTAATATCATAGAAAGGAGTGATAATAGTGATAATAGTTCCTCAAACACAATAAGTTTAGTTTTATGAACATGTTACTTCCTCTCATCATTTTGTGCAAGTACTGGGGACCAGTGAAGAACCACACATGGGATGAGATTGGTATCAGCCATCTCAGCACGGTCACTGTGGGAGGCTTTGCATCACCTCTGCCCTGTGAGCTCCTTTCAGAAGCTGTCAGTGGACCTTTCCATGCTTCCACTGGGGGCTGATGAAGGGACTGACTTCTAAAGTCTATGAAAACTGAACGGTTAGAAGTGAGGGAAAGCAGGATAAGACAAGGGCCAACCCCTATGATCTTGGCTTTGGCAGTGAACTTCTAGATATGGAACCAGAAGCACACGCAAAAAAGAAAAATAAATTGGACTTCATCAAAATTAAAAACCTTTTTGCATCGAAGGATATCATCAACGCAAGTAGATAACACAGGAAATGCGAGAGAATATCTGCAAGTCGTATATCTGATAAGGGTTTAATACCCAAAATGTATGTTTAAAACTCCTACCGCTTGACACAAAGAGATAAACTGATTTTAAAATGGGCAAAAGATTTGAATGGATACTACCCCAAAGAAATAAATGCAGATGGTCAACAAGATCATAAGAAGATACTCAACATCATCTATGAAAAGCAAATCAAAACTACAAGGAGACACCACTTACTGGGTGGCTAAAATCCAAACTGAAAAAATACAATAAAAAATAAAAATAGAAAACAATTGTTGGTAAAGATAATAGGAACCTTTCTACATTGCTGGCAAGAATGTAAAATGATAGAGCTGCTGTGGAAAATAGTTTGGCAGTTCCCTGAAAGCTAATGTATGACATGATCCAGCAGTTCCAGTCTGAGATATATACTATCTAAACAAAATTGAAACAGGGACTCACAGATACTCATGCATCAAGGTCCATTCACAGTAGTCAATGGTGAAAACAGCCCAGGTGTGCTCCAAGAGGTCAATTGATGAAGAAAAACAATTGTGTGTATAAAGTGGAATGTTATTCAGCCATGAAAAGGAGTAAAGTGCTAATGAATAATAGAACATAGAGGGACCTTAAAAACTTTATGCTACACAGAGAAGGACATATATTGTCCGGTTCTACTCACACGAAATATCTGTGATAGGCAAATTCATAGAGACAAAGATTTAGCAGATTAGAGATTACCAAAAGCCAGAAAAAGGATGAAACAGATGCTGTTGCTTACTGGTTACAGACTCTGTCTGGGATGATAGAAGAGATTTGGAAATAATTACATGTAATGGTTACACAAGTTGAGTATAATTAATTCAACTGAATTGTACATTTAAAATAGGTAAAATGGGAAATTGTATATACACATAATTGTTATTGTTTGTTTGAGACAGGGTCTTGCTATTTAGTTCAGGTTGGCTTTGAACTCACTATGTAGTCCAGACTGGCCTCAAACTCACAGCAATCCTCCTGCCTCAGTCTCCTGAGACTGGGATTACAGGGGTACACCACCACACCCAACTCACACACAATTTTTTAATGTTACAAAAGTCGGGTGGAGAAATGAGAGAAAACAAAATGGTTAAAGGGCTCAAGAATTGGAGTCAGATCTCCATTTGGAATCCCATCTTTGCTGCTTACTAGGTGTACGATGTTGGCTAAATTATTTTACTCTCCCAGCCTCAGTTTACCATCCAGAAAAACAATTACATTTTCTCCAACTCAGTACTGTTGGAAGGACTGGATAAGATAATGTATATTAAAACCTGAGCACAGTGCCTGGTATATAATAGGAATTCAATAACTACTACAGTGGACCCTTGACTTACGAACTCGATTGGTTCCCGAGGGAGGCTTGGTTGTAAGTCAATACAGCTGAGATCTGGATGTTTACCTGAGTACACACTATAGGTAACAAGAAGCAAGTGAATCTTCCATTAACCTAATTAATCAAAGTTGTTCGTATATCAGGCCAGTCATAACTTGAGCATCCACTGTAGTTTAAAAAGAAAAACAGTACAGAACATCCACATTTCTTACTCTTAAAATGTGTATTACATTGGTTTCTTTTTTGAAATATTGAAGGTGTCTCCATTGCACGTGGAATAAATCTCAAATACACCTTCATGGCTCACAATCCCACAGGAGCCTGCTCCATCCCTACCCCTCCAACTTTTCCTCAGCCACTGTTTCCCACCTTCTCCTTAGTTTCTCAAACCCAGCAAACTCTTGGCCACTCCAAGGTCTTCACACTTGCTTTACCTGTGGCCTCTGTCTCATCGTTTGGGTTCAGTGTAATATGACACCTGCCCAGAAAGGACTTTCTTGGCCTTCTCATCTGAAATGCACACTCCACACTCCTGGCCCTTGTCACCCCTACACTACCTTTATAATTGTCTTTTAGCCCTTATCACAGTTTATAATTGTGGTGATTAATCTTGATGAATAACTAGACTGGCTCAAGAGCCACCAGTGGGATTAGTAAAGCACACTCGAAGTGTTCATGGATGGGTCAGAGAAGTGTGACCTTGGGGACTATATCTTGTCCTTGGCCCCTTTTTCTCTGGAGGTCTTTCCTTGTGTACTGCTTCCCAGCCAGCCATCACCCCTCCTTTCACCAAGATGTTTCTGCCTTAGAGGCAACCTAGCATTGACTGAATCCTCTAAAACCATAAGCCAAATCAGCCTTTCCTCCTTTCAGTTGCTGGTGTCAGGCATTTTGTCCCAGCAACAGAAAAGCTGACCAACACAATAATTATTTTCTGTTCTTATTTACAATTGGCTTCTCTACCTATAGATTCTGAATTCACAAAGTCAATCAACTTCAGGCAAAAAATATTTTTTTCATAGAATTATGCCTATCCTAAACATGTATGGACTTTTTTCTTATCAATATTTCCAATAAGTCTAATAATTTACATGGTATTTATACTATATTAATTATAAGTAATCTAAAGATAACTTAAAGTATATGAGAGGATGTACACAGGTTATATGCAAATATTGTGCTCTTTTATAATATGGACTTGTTCATATGCAGGTTTTCATATTCTCAGGGAGTCCTGGAACCAATTCCCCATAAATACTGAGAGGTGAGTGTGCTTGTTTATCATCTGTCTCTCTTAAATGAACGTAAGCCAGTGCAAACCACAGCTAACTTACCCGTAGCTGCCACAGCGGGATTTGTTGCACAGAGGCGCTGAATAAATTGTTCATGGAATGCATCTGATCTTAACTCTAAAACTGCCCTCCCTCAATAGTCAAATATTTCCAACTACGTGATCCAACTTGGAGCTATGAGACAGGAAAACTGGCTTTGCCCCTAATTCACTGATGTCAGAACCAGGGCATTTTCTTTCTTATGAGGAAGTGCTTAGAACTGTAAGTCCGGATCACTGGTCTGGGCCTCTATGC